GAGCGTGCCCTAAGGTGACCTGCAGGTTTGGGGTGACTGCAGTGTGTCGTTGCAGGCTCCCCCTTGGTCGCACGCCCCACTCTGGTGAGCGAGGTGGGGGCGGGGGGTGTGGGGAGTCCTGTACCTTCCGCTCAGGCTTGTTGTAACCCTGAAACTGCTCTGGGAAACAAACTGTCTGAAGTGATGAGATAACCCTGCCCTCCCCACCTGGTTCCCTGGGATAACAGAAGTAGCAGTGGAACAATTTGTATGGAAGCACTTTGCGTAATGCAGAACGGTATACTGGTGTCGGACGCTTCGGATTCATAGTCCGCACGACTGGCATAGGGCAGAGTTGGATGGTTTTTAAATAATAATCAGTTAATGTAACGTGGGCACGATCAGCTTCTCGCAGACTTACTCCCGGTCACACTCCCGTGCCAACATCCCGCGCGCTGTCTCTCGGGCTACTCAGCGGGCCTCCCGCGGCGGGCTGTCTGTCTGTCTGTCGGGCAGGCACCTGCGGTTCGGCCGCAGCGCGAAGTTGCTGCTGACACTGCTCCCCACACGCAGCCGCGGCACCTGGACGCATTCGTGCTTTTTCCCTCTGCCCTTGGGGGACGCTCCCAGAACCCAGCCAACGTAATAAAAATAGCTCGTGAAGGCCGAAACTACCCACTGTCTGTCGATGTGGCGCCGCTGCCCTTCTCCCGCTTGAGGAAACCCCCGGGAGGGAGCGCGGGCGAAGGTGAGCGGCTCCGGGGGTCATCTCGGACCTGTGCGCTGCCTGTCGGCAGCCGCGAGTGGCTCCGGCCGCGCCTGTGGCGCCCGCGGTGGGGGTCCCTGCTGGAGTGGCATTGCGGGGGGCCTTGCCCCGGAGCAGCCGCTCAGTTCCCCAAGAGAGCGGACCGAACCCCTCCTGCCGCTGTGGTCAGGGGCCAGGCTTCGGCTCCAGAGACGACGCTGCACGGGCAACACGCGCAGCCGCGGGCCGGGCTGGGCCGGGCTGGGCCGGGCTGGGCCGGTCGCGCAGTGCTCCCGGGGTGCAGGGCGGCATCTGTTGGGTTTGGGCCGGGAGTCAGGCTCGTTAGCAGACAGCCCTTCGTCCCATCACATCGTCCTGACACTTGGGTACGAATTGGGGAGCGTCACATTCTTGGGGCCTCTCCTCTCCGAGGGGTGAGCGGTGCCACGGGGAGACGGCCAGTTTCCAGCCCCTCTGCCATGCGGACGAGGGGCGTGGTCGGGACGGGCGAGGGGCGTGGTCGGACGGACGAGGGGCGTGGTCGGGACGGGCGAGGGGCGTGGTCGGGACAGACGCGGGGCGTGGTCGGGACGGCTGGGGCTGGGGCTGTGGGGCGGCACACCGCCCTGGCCCTGTCGCCGTGCTCGGTGGGGCTGCGAGGGACAGCCGTGTGACGCGGGGGCTCCGCCGATGGACACCGTCGGCTCCGGGAGGCGCGGAGTGAGACGAGGCGGAGGGGAACGGGTCCTGCCTTCGGTTCTCTCAGGCCGCTGCCGGAGACGCCTAGCCGCTCGCTGCCGAGGACCTGGGTGCCCGGCGGCCCCTTCGTGGCCGGGGCTGCGGCGTCCAGTTAGCGTTTGTGCTGACAGTGCTCAGTGCTGCGTCCCACAGGGTCCACGGCGGAGCGCTGGTCGCGGAGTCCGCAGTCGTGCTGGGGGAGGACGCTTGCACACCCGGTATTTCTGTGCATTCCTTCGTTCGTTCGTTCGTGCACTACTTTTTATCGCCACTTATTCCCCCCGCCCTCTTCTCCCCCCCCCCCGCCCCTCCGGGGCATTTTTCAACTTTTAAAGCGTGTTCACTTCCGGGCCGGGCGCTGGCGCAAAGGCACAGAGCAGGCAGCGGCCCCCTCCCGCGCTGGGGTCTGGAACGCCCAGTGGGGGGCGGTGTCTGCGTGCCCGCCTTACGCGTGCGCAAGAAGTCAGCGTGTATTTTGTCGTTTTGGGGTTTTTTTGGTCGTCTTGCCCACAAGTGACACACTGTTCGCCCCTGCACGTAACAGGACACCCGAGAGACCACCGTGCGTGCACAAGTACACACGCACGCAAGGAGCTTCCCTCCTCCGGGCCGCGCGCGCGCACGCCGCCAGGGAGCTGGGCCCTGCGCACAGCGCGGCGTGGGCGGCCGCGCTCACGTTGGAGGGGGAACTGCGGGGAGAACCGACAGGCTCAGACGTGTGCGGACCCGCTCCCAAGCACTGCGCACCCGGCTTCCGGGCGGCTCGCAGTTCCCACTGCGCAGCCTTGAGCAGCTCTGCCCGTCCACACGGTGACCTCGGGGCAGGAGAGGGCCCGTGAGTCATCTCCGCAGGGCACGGTGCCACGCTCCAGGAGTTCTGTCCTCGCCAGCACTGCTGGGGCGGTGGGGGGGGGAGTGTTTTCACTAGGCACGACTTACACACGCGCCCAGCAGCCCTTCTGAGCGCAGACCACGCCCACATTCCCGTCCGCTCCCTCCGGCCGCCCCTCCCCCCAGGGTAACCTGGCTGGCCAGTGTCACCTCGCCCTGCCAGCCTGCCAGCCAGCCGGTGTCTGGGCTCTGGTGCAGGGACGCCTGTGCCAGGGCCGTCCGGCCTTCCGCGCCTCTGGGCCACACTGGGGGGAGGAGAGTTGTCCTGGGCCTCGCATCAAACACCGATGAAAACTGATGAGCAGAAGGAGGTTTTAAGTAAACTTGGGATTTTGTGTTGGCTGCATTGACGGCGGTCCGGGGCCGCGGGCTGGACGCCCCTGGCCGTGCCTTCCTTGCATCTGGCTCCCTCCTCCCACGTCATGCGTGAGGTTCAGGCCCGCTGCTGTGATTTGCTCTGAGTCAGTCATCCGTGATCTGGTCGCCCCGACTCCCTGGGGTGTGGGCGTGACGGGCCACGGCTGACTTGTTCCACCGCTGATGGGCCTGTGGTTGCGTCTGCTGCTCAGCTCCTGTGAATGGAACTTCTGTGCACTTCCATGCACGGGTCCTTGGGAGGGGTTACTCACTCACTCCTTTTGGCTGTACACCTTGTCGGGGTTGGTTTTGTTTTTCAAGATTTTATTTATTTATTTTTAGAGAGAAGGGAAGGGAGGGAGAAAGAGAGAGGGAGAGAAACATCAGTGTGCGGTTGCTGGGGGCCCTGGCCCACAACCCAGGCATGTGCCCTGACTGGGAATCGAACCTGCGACCCTTTGGTTCACAGGCCCGTGCTGAATCCACTGAGCCACACCAGCCAGGGCGGTTTTGTTTTTCATTGAGGTCTTTTTTTTTTTTTTGTGATCCACACCTGAGGATATGTTTATTGGGTTGTTTGTTTTTTTTAGGAGAGAGAAGCATTGATGTGAGAGAGAACTATCAATCAGTTGCATCCCATCCATGCCCGACCAGGGATTGAACTTGCAGCCTTTTTCGTGTAAGGGGCAACGCTCCCACCTACCTAGTACCCAGCCAGGGCTGAGGACTAATTTGTCAGCCCTAAACTCACCCACCTCTGGCACAGAGTCTGTTAGGAGACAGTCTCCCCTGGGTCTCCTGCACTTCCCAGGGGCAGGCCCCTCGACTGCCAGCGGTTGGACCGTCTTTCCGAGGGTGGGGAAGACAGAAGAGGTGCCCCACACAGCAGAGGGCTTCCTGCCTGCAGCCTTGGCACTCAGAGAGGCCGTCTGCCTCTGGGGCGAAGGGCCGGCCTGCCTCCTGCGGCTGCACAGGAGCCACCGCTGCAGGCCCCTGGGGCCCCGCTGTCACCTGCTCTGGACGGCGCTGTGTGGGGCTCGGGCAGCGGGTGCCAGAGTGCCGATGCCACCCTGCTGCCGCTGTGGTGTGAGTCACCAGGTCCCCGTCGCCAGCCCCGGAGGTGTGTGCTGGCTGCCACGCAGTCCCCGCGGCCGCAGCCCCTTGTGCGCTTGCCCCAAGGGGCGGGGCCTGGCCCTGGCCCTCGCGACACCAGTCAGCAGCGTATTGCATCAACGCGGAGTCTTGCCCCCCCACCGCCGCCAGCTCACAGAGCGGTTGTCACCCCCCCCCGCCCCCCCCAGTCCCTTGGTGCCCAGGACTCAGCCCCTCCCAGCTGCAGCCGGCCCACTGGGGCGCTGTGTCCCGGAGCTGTGGCCACCTGTTGTCTTTCCCGGGAGTGGAGTCCCACGTGTCCTCCGCCTGCTGCGCCCATCACGAGCTCGCCCCTGTGTCCCGAAGAGGCGCCCCGAGGTCGGAACAGCTGTTTGCTCCCTCGCCGGCGGGCGGCGGGCGTCTGGGTCCTTGCCAGGTGGGGCCGGAGAGCCCACGCCCGGAGAGCAGTGGGGGGCGCGTCCTCGGGAGGCCTGGCGGGTGTGCCCCCTTCCCGCGGGCGGGTGCTCGGGAGTGGGGGTGCCGCGTCGTCAGAGGCGCTCGCAGGCCCACAGCCGGGGAAGGAGCTGCCGCGCTCCTTCCCAATGCGTCGGGTCGCCCCGTGCCGCCGCACAGCCGTCCCATTTGCATCGTTCGCTGTGAGCGAAGTCGAAAGTACCGCTTCAGGTGCTCGAGTTACTTGTGTTTCCTTTTCTACGAATTGGCCTGTTCACCTCTCTTTCCTGTTTTTCTACGAGGTGTTGGAATCTTTTACTGCTCTGTGGGCTGGCTTCCGCGCGTACCGGGGGTGTTTTCGGTCATGCTCTGAGTGGCAAGCGTTTCCTCTCCGCACTCACAGGTCACAGGTCACCGTGGAGGCTGCGTGTGTGGGTTCTGCCGTGCCGAACCCGGGCTCCCTGAAGCGCTCCGTCCCGGGGTGTTCGGTGACAGAGGGCAGGGGTGTTCTTGTCATCCACCCCGAAGGGTACAACAGGCTTTCCGCCCACGGTTCACGTGGCCGTGACTTCAGCGGGAGTAAACAGAAATATTCTGAAGACTCACAATTTTCTGGGTTCTCCTGAGCATGCACCCCCATTTAGGAAACAGCCGTGCACTGGGGACAGAAGTGCTGTCACAGCTGTCCTGCCTCCGGTGCGGCAAGAGACGAAATGTCAAAGTCGTGTTGCGTGTGTCTTCACAGAAACACCCGCACAAGATGCCGGCGCGGCCGAGCTGGACGGGGCGAGTCCTGTTCCTCCTCCTCACCGTCGAGTCTCTAGGTAGGTAAGGCTCGGGGGAGACCCCGCCTCCCGCCCCCCCTCTCCGGTTCTGCCGTTGGTGTGATTGTGCGTGTGCCTGATGGCCGTACAGTTCTGCTTGCTGCGTGCTCTTTCTGGGGCCACTGTTAAGAGACTAACGCCGTCTTAAAACGATTCGAAGAAGTGCAGTGCTCTCGATAAATCATACTTTGTATGGTTTGGGTCGAGACAGTAATTCTGAACGCTGTGTAGCTGTAGTAACGGTAACTGTGAGGTAGGGGAAGGGGAGGTTGTTGTTTTTAAAAATAAAGAAATGGGAGAAAATCTGCCCATCGCCCTCCTGGTACTTGGCCGCCACGCATCACACACGGTGCGCAGTCCTACCCCCCCCCCCCGCGCCAGCTCATCCCCGTGTGCGGCCAGAAGCTGGGGACGCCATGGTCCCCGCCACCTCAGGCCACTGGGGAAGTCCAGCGTGCTGGTGCACCAGGGCGTCTGGACAGCGGCCCCCTGCCGCAGGCTTGATGACAAGGGTGGTGGTTACGTGTTTGTTGTTAGGGTTCGAGTGCAGTGCACTTGGGGGGGGCGCCCGCACCAGGCGCGGTCCGAGGGTGGTGGTTCTGTTGCTCGGGTCGGAACACCGTTTTCCTGTGGCTGCACGGTGGGCTGCCGGCTGAGGGGCAGCGTGGCTCCCGGTTAGGCTGCCGGCCAGGGAGGAGTCTGACCGGCGTGTTCGCACGGAGTGCCTCCGTCACCCCGTGAAGAGGGGACGCTGTCCTCTGTTGCCGCCGCGTCTGCGGTACCCGCCCCCATTGGTGTGTTCCCGCATCACACACCGTCTTCAGCCCTAACGTCAGCGTCCGGCGTGCGGGCGGCCCTCCCCGGTCCTGTCCTCGGCCAGTGCGGTGAGTGTGCGTGCCCCCTCCTCCTCTTCCCTCCCACGGTGCCGCTCTGTCCGCTGCCGCCTCACCGGTCGCCCCGACACGCCGTGGCCTCCGGCGACAGCAGTCACGGCGTCTCGTGGCCTCCGCGGGCGGTGGTGCAGACCGGCCCGCTGGCGCAGTGCGCCCGGAGCTGCGGAGGCAGAGGCTGGCGGCGTCGGAGGGCACGCGCTCGCCTGGGCGGCGCTGCAGCTCTTGGCCGGAGCGTACCACACGTGGCCTCGCTCCGCGTGGCCTGGGCTGGGCTCCGAGGGCAGGTGTCCCCGGAGAACGAGGGAGCTGGCCGGCAGTGGCATGTCTCCAACAGCCCGGCCCGGCCGCGGAGGTCAGCCCGCCCACTGCCGGGGCAGAAAGGGGCGGGTCGGAGAGCAGGGTGGGGCTGTGGGCCCCACGGGTTTGCAGAAGGGTCGCCGGTCGCACTGTGAGGGGAGCGGGGGGCCTCGCCGAGTGGCTCAGCTGGTGGGAGTGTCGTCCCGCGAGCTGAAGGCTGCGGTACGGTCCCCAGCCGGGGTGCGCGCGCGAGGTGGCCGGTGCGTGTCTCTCACGTCGGCGTCTCCCTCCCGCCCTGACCCCTGCCCTCCCCCCCTCCCCGCTCTGTAAAACCGGCGACCGCGCCCTCGGGTGGGGAGGAGAAGATAAGGGAGGAAGAAGCGTGTGGGGCAGGATAGGGGCACAGCTGTGTCCAGGGGCACAGGGCCGCTCGCCTGGGCCCCCGGCGCGCTCCGTCGGCGCTCTCCACACGGGAGGTCGGGGTTAGCGTGGCGAGGACGGTCTGAGCAACGTGGATGTGCCCCGGCAGACCGGAGAGTGCGCGGGAACGGCACGCGTGAGCAGCGACGACCTCCCTGTGCCGGTCGGCGGGGCGGTGGGCGCCCCTCCGTGAGCCTGTGCGCTGTGTGGCCGTCACAGTCAGAGTGACGGGCGAGCGGAGTGACGCGTCTGCCTCGGACTCCGTGCTGAGCCTGAACTTCCGTCCTCGGAGACTGGTCGGCTGAGTCGGAAGACCGCGGCAGCTCCGGGCAGCGGGCGGTCGGCAGCCTCTTCACGACGGACGCTGCGCCTGCTCCCGCATCACGTCTCGCGCGGAGCTTTCTGATGCGGCACCAAGTCACCCGGGACTCGGCTCCCTTCCAGCCCAGAGCTGGCGCCCTGTGGCTTCCGGCTTCTCCCAGAAGCCCCTTTGGAAGGGAGGAGGTTTCAGACCATCGATGAGACTCGGGAAACTGCGACGGGGCAGCTGATGGCGACTGGGAGACCGGTGCGAGGTCCCAGGTGCCCCCTCTGAAGGGGACTGAGGCGTCCTGGTCCTGTGCCCAGTGTTTCTTGTGTCCTGTGTCTCCTTCACTCAATGTCTCCGTTCCTCACATCACGTGGCTGGACACCTCCTGGACGGACCTCGACGACGAGTCATCGGCCAATCAGATGCAAGTTTGAACCCGAGGACGAGACGCCTGGTTTCTCGGGGAGGAGACGGCAGCCAGGCGTCCGCGGCGCCACGGGGCGCGCTGGCGTTTGCCGTAGGGAACTCCCGTCCGCAACTCCGGCGCATCTGCCTGAAGACTCCAGCCGGTTTTACTGAACACCTCTTTGTAAAAGGCGAAAGATTTGTACGATCTGAAGAGAAACCAGAGTATGAGATACCCCTTTGGATTAAAAAAAAAAACCTTCCCAGGATCCAACCTTAGAGAGCCTGGCAGCTCTGCGGGACGGGGCTGATCTGGGACGGGGCGGTCTCGGTGAGCCCGCCTTTCCCTCCGGCCGCGGGGACGCTTCCGTGTTTCTCTCACCCCCGGTCACACACGGAGCAGCGCCGGCGTGTCTCCGGCTGGGTCCCCCCTGCCCGGGCGGTCGAGACGCCTGTCGTCTCGCCTGCCCAGTCGCGTCTCCCGTGTACACGGGCGGGTCCTCTGCTCTCAACGCAGGATCCTGTCCCACCCACGGACGCTTAAAACCAGTGCGTCCGGCCCCCTCGTTCCGCTTCTGTCTTTTGCTGCCCCTGCCGTTTCCTCGGCTGAACGCCGGCGCGTGACCGGTGCAGACCACCCACCCGCCGGTCCCCTCACGCCCCAGCAGCTTGCGGGCCGAGGGTGGTTCCAGCTGGCCCCGGGCTGCGAGGGGACGGATGGCCCGTGCACCCGGAAGCGGAGGTGGCGCCGTGCAGGACGGGCTGCGGCCGCCTGGGTTTCGCTCTGTTGTCCTCCTCCTCCTCCCGCGGGTCCCTGGCGTCCGTTTACTGGTTTGCAGACGGTGGCGCTGAATTCCGGCCGCGCCGGCTCTCGCCGCGTGTCTCTTCTCTCCGTGTCTTCAGAGGCGTCCGTGGTGGGGGGGGGGGCTGCGCGCACGAGCGCCGGGTGCCCGGCCCACCCTCACGTGGCCCGCTGTCGCCCCCCCCGCCCCCCGCAGGCGAGCTGGTGGACCCCTGTGGCTCCATCGTCCCCGAGGCCCCGGTGGTGCCGCTGGGCTCCAACTTCACGGCCGTGTGCGTGCTGAAGGAGCAGTGCATGCGGGACCTGCACGTCCGCGCCGAGGACATCTTCTGGAAGACGGACCACGTCGCCGTGCCCCGCCGGCAGTACGCCGTCCTGAACAGCACCGCGGCCAGCGTCACCCTCGCCGGCCTGTCGCTGCTGAGCCTGCAGCTCACCTGCAACGTCCGCACGTTCGGGCAGCTCGACCAGAACGTGTACGGCATCCACGTGACGGCCGGCCGTAAGTGCGGGCGGCGGGCGGGGGCTCCCGCGCACTCCCGTGCTCTGGGAGGGAGCCGAGACGTGGGGGTCTCACCGCCCGTGGCCAGAGAAACCCGAAAAGCAGGGCAGGTTTCGCGCCGCCGTCCTCCATGCTGGCCACACGTCCGGCGGGCCTCCGGAAGGGTCTGTGACCGCGGCCGCCAGGGCAGAGCTGCTCGGCCGAGGCTGACCACCTTGTCCAGAGCGACCTCCGGTGCCCCCTGGTGGCGGGGGAGACGCCCGCCGAGCAGCCACCTGGGGAAGGCCCTCCTCCGCCAGAGCGAGCAGACTCAGCGGGGTCCCAGAGGGGCTCATCGGGTCCCTGCGTCCCCAGAGCGAGGGCACTGTGCCCTCTGCTTCCCTTCCAGCAGGGTTCGGGAGGGCAGTTGGAGGGGAAATAGAATCATTTTCGCTTCTGTCTGCTGGCCTCTTGCTAATGTGCACGTATGACCACTTTTTAAAGTGCCCTCGCTGGGGAAATCCGTGGGGACTGTTACCTAGATACTCACGTAGAAAGTTGTTTTGAGACACACTAGTTAACGGCGGTTACGGTAGGAAACGTGTATCACTGTCTCGAAAGAAGTTCCAGGTTAAATAGAAACCAGTGTTCTAGACGCCAGTCTCGGTGAGCCCTCACTCTCTGCCTGAGCTTTTTGCTTTCCAGTTTGGGTTGTGGGTTTCTTGGGTAACGCACACACAGTGCCTGTTGTTCGCGGATAAAGAGCCTTTTGAAAGCTGCACTTTTTCCCCTCCAGTGCCTCCAGAGAAACCCGAGAACCTGAGCTGCGTCGTGCCCCAGGGGAGGAGGATGACCTGCCAGTGGGACGCCGGCAGGGAGACGCACCTGGACACGAACTTCACCCTGAAGTCGGAATGGCAAGTCCTGCTCGGTCGCCACAGGCTGCCTGTGCGCGCGGTCGGGCGCTGGTGCCGGGGTTCCCACTCGGGCGACCAGTGCGTTCCGTGCAAACTCCTACACACTTCGTCTCACGTCGTTTGTGAGCACGTCCGGCGGCAGGGGGAGAGCGGTGTGGCCCCCGCGGGCTCGCCGTCCGGCTCAGGAGTGGGCAGCTCGGGGCCCGAGTCCCGTGGGCCCCGCCCCGCCCCGGGCTGTCTGAGGGGAGACTCAGACCTCCTGCCGTCCCGTCAGCGAGGCCGGAGCACACGCTCCGAGAGGCAAGGGCCCCTGGGAAAAACAGCCGAGCGCCACGCACGGCTGCACCCAAACACGCCTGAGAGCCCCTCAGCCGCACCCTCAGGCCTCCGGGCAGGGTCCGTCCCCCCAGGTGTCTCGTAGACACGCGCACGTCCCCCCGCCCCCCCCCCCCGCTCCGATCCCGGTGGGAACAGCCGGCCCCTCGTCCCTCCCGGCTGCGGCCCCTGCCGCCCTGTCCCTTCGCTTCCCGGAAGCCGCTGCTGGGTCTGGACGCTGGATCAAATGCAGCTTCGATCTCTCCCCCCGGAGATTCTCAGTCAGTGGGAGTGATGTGCGCTTCGGGCAGGGACACCCCCCCCCCCCCGCCTGACGGCTGACTGGTCCCACTCTCCGGCCCTGAGACCGGTCGAGCAGCGGTGTCCACCGGCGGCCTGACCCCCGCGCACCGGGAAGCTCCCCCTGGTTCCCGTCAGACACAGAAGTGGGGGGAGTCTCGCTCGCGCCCACCGCCGGGCCCCACAGTTACCCCGACGCAGCGCCGTTTTGCTCTGTCGCATGCGTGCCCACCCCCCCCCGTCGGCCCCTGGTCAGCCCTCGCACACCCCTCGCACACCGAGCTGCCGACAGTCCGCTTCACCCCGACTCCTCGGCACACGCAGTGTTCGTGAGACGTCCGTAACTGTTTCGTTTTTGGTCGAGCGTGTGTGTGTCACACACACGGGGCCGAGAGAGACACCTCGGATGTGTCCTTTACGGAGTCTCTCCCGTGCGTGCACCGTGCGGCCCCGGCCCGCCCGCCGCCCCCTGCCCCGCCTGTCATCCCTTCTCCTCCGCTGGGCCGTGGCCTGTCCCGGGGTGTCGTAGACACGGAGTCAGACGGTGTGTCTCGTTGGCGAGAGGTTTTGGTGGCCCAGCGGCACGTTTTGGGGATTCGACCACCACGTTGCTCCCGATGGTGGTTTACTTCCTGGCAGGTGTGAGCGGTCACCCACGAGCACGGTCTGCGCCCGAGGCACACAGTGGGGCCGCTCTGCCCTCCTGTTCGGCCCGAGACGCCCGCGGCTCCCCTTCCCCAGCCCGGGGGCACCCGGGGGTGCGCCGTGTGGGACAGGAGCAGTGAGGTCTTAGCGGTTCCCTCCACTGGCCGGGTGTATAACGAGTTCATTCCCGGGGGGTTTCCAGAGGTGGGTGGCGAGGAGCCTTCCCCCTCGTTAGGAATTCACACTTTACAGTATTTTGTTGTGTTCCAGTTTGTTATGGTTTCCTCCCTGATACTTCAACTACTTCATCTCTGGTTCGTGGGAACTCAATTCCGATCGCTTATCCTTTCGACACGGCTGCGTTAGTCTTTGATAGTGTCCTCGGTTTTTGATATGACATGACTTTTCAGGTTTGTCTTAACATAGTTCTCGCCCCGGGCCTAAAACCAACCACGTGCCCAGTAGCCGTGGCCCCACGCTGTGTGAGATGCCGTTTTGAGGCCAGAGCTGGGGCGGCGGGGGCGCGTCCTGGTTCCACAGCCTCCTCGGTGGGGCGCCGAGAAGGACCTGGAGGCTGTTTTTCTTCCCCTAAGGATACAGTTAAATTACAGGCTTAAAGACACCTGAAATAGCTGTGTTATACTACCAGCTCAACGCAAGAGTTCATGGGCTTCATTTTCCTTTATTTTAAAAAAAATTTTGACTGATTTTAGAGAGAGAGAAACAATGATTTGTTCCACTAATTTCTGCATTCATTGGTTGATTCTCGTAAGCACCCCGACCGGGGATCGAACCCACGACTCCGGCCCGGCCAGGGCCCGGGGATTCTCACCCCCCCCACGTTCTCCTGTCTCCTCCGAGCTCCCTGTGCCGGGGAAGGGCACCGCCGGTGCGGCGAGGACTCTGTTTCAGAGGAGGGAGGGGCCGGCACGGAGCCCCCGGGCGCAGCCGAGGTCCGGAGGAGAGGCAGCCGGGCAGAGCCCAGCACTTTATGTGCAGCATTCCCGAGCAAAGACGAGAAAACGGTTTTGTGTCAGGTGTAGATCGGACTCGGTTTTAAAGAAAAGCAGGTTCGTGTTTAAGAAATGCTTTTAGCGACCAGCCTATCCCACACTCACTGGGACCAGCTTGCTCACGCTGAGGTGCAGGGACCCGGGTCTCCCCAAACCCAGGTTATTTCGAGCAGCCTCTCTCACGCCGTCTCTGCAGACCTGGTTGTAACAGCCGGTTCTCCCGCGTCTGTGTCCAGGGCGACAGAGAAGTTCGCCGACTGCCGGGCGAGGCGCGAGGCGCCCACCTCCTGCACCGTGGACTACTCCCCCGTGTACTTCGTGAACCTGGAGGTCTGGGTGGAGGCGGAGAACGCCCTGGGGAGGGCCGTGTCGGCGCACCTCAACTTCGACCCTGTGGACAAAGGTGGGCGTGCCCCCGCATCTCGGGGTTCCTGGACACGTACGGGGGTTTATAAAGTAGCTGTCAGCCTTTAATGAGTGTAGGAACAAGCATTTGTCTTATTGGGGGCTTTTACAAATTCGTTTCACCAACGGCACTGAAAATAATCCGGATGAAGAGAAATACCGCAGCCTGACCACGCTCACGGCTGTTTTCACGTTGAGTGTTACGTCCTGGTGTTTGTCCGGTTGCCGAACATGTCATAGGGTCATAACCACAGTCATGACACGTTCCATTTGTAGTTCCTTTTTGCCATTTTACGTTACGAATACTTGTTTTGTGATGGCCGAACTGAAGAGATGAACCGGAGTGCTAAGCGGAGAGGGAGGGCCTCACCTCAGGCACTCCGTCCCACGCCGCTGGGCGGGCCCGGTGGGCGGGGGTGAGCGGAGGCTGTGCCGTGAGGAAGTGTGGAGCGTGCACGGGGGTGTGTGCACGTCGGTGTGTGCAGGACCTCGATGACCTCGGGCGTGCTCTGTCCTGCAGTGAGGCCCAACCCGCCGCACAACCTGTCGGTCAGCAGCTCGGAGGAGCTGTCCAGCATCCTGAAGCTGACCTGGGTCAACCCGAGCATCACGGAGTTCATGCAGCTGAAGTACGACATCCAGTACCGGACCCGAGGCGCCTCCACCTGGACCCAGGTGTGCGGGGCGTCCCTCGCCGCCCTCGGCCGGGAAGTGTCCGTCACTTTCCCGCCGTCTCCCCCCCGAAGGGTTTTGCTTCCCCTCCTGTAGATCTGCGTTTCAAGCGGGGGCAAACGGGAGGGCGGGCGTCTGACAGAAAGTACGGCTCTGCTGAGCTGCAGTAGCTTTTAGGTGACAGGAGGGAGCAATGCGGGGCGACAGCAGACAGCACTTGGGTGGGAGGCGAAGGGAGCCCACGCCCTACGCTGGCGAAGGGGGGGAGAGAGCGTGAGAAAGCGTGAGAGAGCGTGCGGCTGAGGGCGAGCAGGGGCTGGCCCATGGGTCACAGCTGCGAGCCCTGGCGTGCGGACCGCACCGCGCAGTGTCCCTGCGCCCTGTCCGCACCCCCTCCAGTCCAAGTCCCCTGAGTTAAATCGAGGTGGGAACTCCCGGTCTCCTCCCGCTGAGACTCGTCCTGCTGTAGGCCTCCAGGAAGGAAGGAAGGAAACTGAAGGGAGGGAGGGAAGGAAGGAAGGAAGGAAGGAAGGAAGGAAGGAGGGAGGGAGGGAGGGAGGGAAGGAGGAAGGAAGGAAAGAAGGAAGGAAACTGAAGGGAGGGAAGGAAGGAGGGAGGAAGGAAAGAAGGAAGGAAGCTGAAGGGAAGGAAAGAAGGAAGGAAGCTGAAGGGAGGAAGGAGGGAGGAAGCCGAAGGGAAGGAAGGAGGAAGGAAACTGAAGGGAGAGAAGGAGGAAGGAAGGAAGGAGACTGAAGGGAAGGAAGGAAGGAGGGAGGGAGGGAAGAAGGAAGGAGACCAAAGGGAAGGAAGAAGGGAGGAAGCTGAAGGGAAGGAAGGAGGGAGGGGGGGAAGGAGGGAGGAGGGAGGAAGGGAGGAAGGAGACTGAAGGGGAAGGAAGGAAGGAGGGAGGGAGGGAAGAAGGAAGGAGACCAAAGGGAAGGAAGAAGGGAGGAAGCTGAAGGGAAGGAAGGAGGGAGGGAGGGAGGGAAGCTGAAGGGAAGGAAGGAGGGAGGGAGGGAAGAAGGAAGGAGGGAGGAAGGGAGGAAGGAGGGAGGAAGCTGAAGGGAAGGAAGGAGGGAGGGGGGAAGGAGGGAGGGTCCACAGCAGATGTTTGCACGCTTCCCGAATCTGCTGCCGTGACCGAGTCCGGCCGCTCCCGACCCTCGCTGGTCGCGCGCCTGCACTCGAGGTCCCCGGTGTCGTTCGCTGGGTTGGTCCCTAACGTCCGCCGCGCCCCGGGATCAACCCGTAACTAACCCCGTGGCGTGTGCCGCCCCGCCCCGCCTGCAGATCCCCCCCGAGGACACGGCGTCCACCCGGTCCTCCTTCACGGTGCAGGACCTGCGGCCGTTCACGGAGCACGTGTTCAGGGTCCGCTGCACGAAGGCCGACGGCAGGGGCTACTGGAGCGCCTGGAGCGAGGAGGCCAGCGGGACCACCTGCGAGGACCGTGAGTGCGCACGGGGGTGGGGGGGGCAGCCGCGGGGGCGGGCCGCGTGACTGAGGAGCAGGGTCCAGAGGGCCCCCTGCCGGGACCGTCACCCCTGGAACCGTTACGGCCACACCGTCCAGCGGACCACCCTCGGGTCCTCGCTCCGCAGAAGCCGTCGTACGTTGTTGTCGTCGTTGTCGTCGTTGTTGTGGGTCTGTGCTCTCCTCCCAGCCCCGGAGGGGCCCCGGGAAGAGAGGCCCGCCGTTACCTCGGTCACTTGCTTTTCTCTTCCCGCGTGAGGACGCTGCGCGAACTCTGCAGGAAAAGGTGTGCGGTTCCGAGTTAGAGTCCCTCGCCCCCGCCCCTGCGGCCACTGTGAAGTGGGCCTTCGGCGTGCGGCTTCCGCGTCGAACCGTCCCCCTCCCAGCCTCCCCTCCAGGTGTCCCGAGCCACCGAGCCCCTTCCCGCCCCACCCCTCACCCCCAGCTCGGCCGGAGGCTCGCAGGGGTGGTGCGTGCACAGCCCACCCTGCCCCCACTCCACACCCCCCCCCCCCCAAGAGCTGGGGAGGCGCAGTCTGGGGGAGTCCGGACCACCCGTTAGCGCCGACAAGCGTTTTCTGGGGAGGGGGGACGTAGCCTCTGTGAAATCGGGGAGCGTCCTGGAACCGGACGGGAGCCGTCGACTTAGTGACTGACACCTCGGGGTTTACTTTCCATGAGGACGTGTATCTGTTCCACACCCTTTTTTCCGTAATTTCACGTTCTTTACTTGTGTGTTTCTTTTTTAATATAGTTTATTGACTATGCTGTTACAGTTGTCCCATTCCCCCCTTCAGTCCCCTCCACCCTGCACACCCCTCCCACCCACATTCCCCCCTTTAGTCATGTCCATGTGTCACAAGTCCTTTAGCTTCTACATTTCCCACACTATTCCTGCCCTCCCCCTGTCTATTTTCTACCTGCCATCTATGCTACTTATTTCCTGTGCCTTTTCCCCCTCTTTCCTCCTCCCACTCCCCTGTTGCTAACCCTCTGTGTGATCTCCATTTCTGTGGTTCTGTTCCTGTTCTAGTTGTTTGCTTAGTTTGCTATTATTTTGGTGTGGTTGTTAATAACTGTGAGTTTGCTGTCTTTTTACTGTTCATGTTTTTTATCTTCTTTTTCTTAGATAAGTCCCTTTAATATTTCATAAAATAAGGGCTTGGTGATAATGAACTCCTTTAACTTGACCTTATCTGAGAAGCACTTTATCTGCCCTTCCATTCTAAATGAAAGCTTTGCTGGATAGAGCAATCTTGGATGTAGGTCCTTGCCTTCCATGACTTGGAATACTTCTCTCCAGCACCTTCTTGCCTGCAAGGTGTTTTTTGAGAAATCAGCTGACAGACAGTCTGATGGGAACTCCTTTGTAGGTGACTGTCCCCTTATCTCTTGCTGCTTCTAGGATTCTCTCCTTCATTGTTACTTTGGCTAATGTAATTATGATGTGCCTTGGTGTGTTCCTCCCTGGGTCCAACTTCTTTGGGACTCTCTGAGCTTCCTGCACTTCCTGGAAGTCTATTTCCTTTGCCAGATTGGGGAAGTTCTCCTTCATTATTTGCTCAAATAACTTTTCCATTTGTTGCTCTTCCTCTTCTCCTTCTGGAACCCCTATAATTTGGATGTTGGAACACTTAAAGATGTCCTGGAGGTTCCTCAGCCTCTCCTCATTTTTTTGAGTTCTTATTTCTTCATTCTTTTCTAGTTGTATGTTTTTTTCTTCCTTCTGGTCCACTCCATTGACGTGAGACCCAGCTTTCATTCCATCACTATTGGTTCCCTGTGCATTTTTCTTCATTTCACTTAGTGTAGCCCTCATTTTTTCATCTAATTTGCGACCAAATTCAACCAACTCTGTGAGCATCCTGATCAGCAGTGTTTTGAACTGTGCATCTGATCGGTTGGCTATCTCTTGGTCACTTAAAAGTATTGGCTCTGCAGTTTTCATTTGTTCTTCCATTTGAGCCTTTTTTTTTTTTTTGGTCTAGTCGCCCTTGTTACGTATGAGGGTGGAGCCTTAGGTGTTCACCAGGGCGGGGCACCCCAGTCGCTGGGTTGTGACGTTGTATGTGGGGGCGGGGTCCGAGACGGAACAATGACGCTTGCTCTGCTCTCTCTCGGATTTCAGTCCCCTCTGCTGCTCCCCACAGCAGACTGGGCCCTTCTGGTGCTGGCTCCCAGGCGGGTAGTGGGTTTGTACACATTCTAGGACCCCGTGGGTCTCTCCAACGAACTCTCCTGTGAGGCTGGGAGTCTCTCCCTGCACCTCAACCCCCACAAGTGTTTTCAATCGGTGCTTTCAGGCTTCATTTCCCAGCGTCAGAGCCTTGGGCCGTGAGGGCTGTCTCGCTGCCTGTTTTCACCCGGTTCATCTGCGCGTGAACGTGAGACAGCCGGCCGCCTTGCGTGCCTCCCTGGGCCTGCCCGCTGCCCCCCCCACGCTCGGGGTCTGCCAGCCACCACTTTTCCCTGCCAGACCCCTCTCCACTGGCCACCGACTCCACCCCCTTACTGGTCTGGGCGAATGGTTGTCAGACTTCTGTACAGTTCAGTTTTCTTTGTGTTCGGGTTGGGTTTTTTTTTGTTTGTTTCTAAATTTTTGTTGTCCTTAATTTTGGTTGTGCGAGGAGGCACAGTGTGTCCGCCTACGCCTCCATGTTGGCCGGAAGGCTGCTTGTGTGTTTCTGTGCTTACACACGCACCTGTCCCAACCCGCTGTGCGGGCAGCCCCGCCCCCAGCCTCCTGGTCGGTCTGCCTTCTCCGAGCCCGTCGGCCGCAATTGCCTCTCGGGAGCCACACGTCTGCTGAGACCTCATTCTGGTCCTTCTTAAATTCTTTTGAACACCGTGTTTTGTAAATTACATTCATAAAGAGTTTTTAAACCCCGGGAGTCCTACAGGAGTTTTTAAAACCTAGTTGCTAGCACTCGATACTTTGTCCTGCAAAGTGCTGTTCTCACGTGGGTGGCAGTGGACCTCGTGACGTCGTCTGCCACGTCCTCGTAGGTCGCACCGCCCCGCGGTCGGGCGGGCGCCTGTGCCGCCTTCACCCCACCCACTCTCGTTTGTGGGGTGTTCTTGCGTTTACACGTGCAGGGACTACAAGCCGGTGTGTAAGTAGGCGTGTTCAGCTCCATTTTCAGCATTACAGTCGGGATGCCTCTTTGGTCACTGCTTGGGATCGCCTCCGCTGCCCCGTGGTGTAAGGCCGTAAGAGGGTGTCGGTGTGACGCGCACCGTCGGGCTGGCCCCTGACGGGACGCAGGCCCGGCACCACCCGCGGGGACGGGAACACACACCTGTGAAGGGAGGGAGAGACTCCGTGCAGTTGGCGGGCGACAGCAGTCCCCGGGACTTTATTTCTCTGTCGCAATGAGGACTGGTGAGACGTGCGTGTCATTTCTGTAGGACCGTCCAAGGCGCCCAGTTTCTGGTACAAGACGGAGCAGCCCCTGGCCCACGGCTCCAGATCCGTGCGCCTCCTGTGGAAGGTGAGAAACCCCTCCGTCCTCTCCCGTCTCCTGTGCGAGCGAACACGCTGTACGTGGCAGCGTGAGTGGGGTCTTCCAGCTGAAGCTTCTACTCACCCCAATGGCAGCGGGGCACGCGGTAACAGGGGTGCAGCCACGCAAAGTTCCGTGTGCCCCACACGGAGCTGGGCTGGCGGCCCGCTCTGCGGGCAGAGACCTGGTCCTCTGTTGCACGTGCCTGAGGGCCGTGGAGCGACGGGCAGAGGCTCAGGCGGCCCCAGCGTGTCTCGGTGCCGGGGGACGTAGAATCGCTGATCAGGCCCTGGGTGTTCACGGGGGGCGGGGGGGTCCCCACTAGACCCGGGGGCGAGCAGGGCCCCGAGACCCACACTGCCCCCGGGCGACGCTCCTGCCCGCCCCCTCCCCTCCGGCCCCGCCTCCGCTGCACCGGCGAGTCCAGGGCGGGGTGGCCCGGTGGCCCTGTTCGTGAGCAAGAGAAAATCAGCTTGCGCCCCGATGGATGAAACACGCTTTAACGTGAAGTGTTCTGTTGCAGACGCTGCCCCCTTTTGAAGCCAACGGGAGAATCTTGGACTACGAGGTGACTCTCTGGAGAGGGAAGGCCGCCGTGCAGAACCACACGGTGAACAGCACGAGGCTGACGGTGAGCCTCACCGGCGACCGCTACCGAGCCGCGCTGACCGCCAGGAACGGGGTGGGCCGCTCCGACGCCGCCACACTCACCATCCCCGCCTGCGACTTCCGCGGTTCGTGTCTGGTGGGGGGTGGGCCCCCCAGTGCCAGGCCCCGCCCACGCGGGCGAGGTCCCGTGCTGTCCCCCGGTGTCCGCAGGGGGCACGCGCCATTGTCGCACGGCCCCGGAACCTTCCTGCCAGCGCCGCAGCCGTATGGGCAGTTCCTGATGGGCGCCTGGCCCGTGCTGTAGATGTTGCTGTGAAGTGTTGGGGCCTCTGTGCCTCGACTGTACTGTGTATCGGTGGCTTTCGAAGGAGGAAAGCTATCGCTCACGTTCACAGAACACTAGTTTCGGGAAGGGAGGAGCCCACGTCTCAAACGCATCAACTGCGTGTAAACTGTAATGGAGGGCCCTGTCCGAGGACAGGCCTGTCACCGTCAGACGGACGCCGCTGGCCCGGACGGGTCACGCGGCCGGGGAGACGAGTGTAGGGCCTCCGAGCAGCGTTTCCACGGGTCCCTCTGCCATCTGTCACACTGGTGCTCACCTTGTTTCACAGCCACTCGCCCCGTGAGGGACCTGAGAGCCTTCCCCAAGGACAGTGTGCTCTGGGTGGAGTGGACGGCCCCCGGCCAGCCCGTCACCAGCTACATCCTCGAGTGGTGCGTGCTGTCGGACAGGGCGCCCTGCGTGCCCGACTGGCAGCAAGAAGATGGTGCCGTGAACCGCGCCGCCCTGACAGGTGCGTCCCCGCGAGCTCAGTCGTCCCGGTGGCCGGGTAGACGTCTGACCGACCGGACGCCCTGCCCTCTCTGCACCGCGGGGTGTGTCTGTGCACAGCCAGGCAGCGCGGTCGTGTTCCTGGGCCTCCTTGTCGTTTGGGTCATCAGACGGACAACAGTCCCAGAACTGCCTTGTGGGGGGCAGGCGAGGGCACCTCACCTCTGCCGCTCGCTGGCCCTCTGCGCCTGGGGGAGCCTCTGCCCCCCTCCTCCAGCGGCCGGGTCGGGGAACAGGGCCGGGACTCGGGTTCCCGTGCGTGTCCTCGAGCACACGCGCGTGCAGGGCGGGAGGCAGCAGCACCGCAGAGCTCCTGCGCGGGCCGCTGTGCGCGCCCTCACACTCGGGGCTGGCAGCCAGGGCGCCGCCCACTCCCAGAGCAGTTTCGCTCGCGTCGGCCCGCACCAGCGCACAGAGGCCGCGCTGCGTCAGAAAGGTGCGGCTTTAGGAGCAAGTTCGGTGGCCGTGAAACCGTAACGTAAAATAATGGAACCGGGCACTTCTGTCCCAGGGAAAACAGCGCTGACTCTGCTTCTCTCCCCCTAGGGGCCCTGGAGGAGAGCAAGTGCTACCTGATCACCGTCACCCCTGTGTACGCGGACGGGCCGGGGCTCCCCGAGTCCACGCGGGCGTACCTCAAGCAAGCCCGTGAGTCCAGGCCCGCTGGCCCCTGCGGTGGGGGGCGCGTTGCTCTGTGTCCACGGAGACCTGGGGTCCCTTTGAACTCGGGCCATTGCTTCCCATTGTTTCAGATAAAAACTCTGTGACCAGTTTTACTGACCTCTGATGACTCCCAGTCAGCAAATCACCTCTGTTCTGTTCCAGCACCTTCCAAAGGGCCCACCGTCCGGACCAAAAAAGTGGGGAAGAACGAAGCCGTCTTGGAGTGGGACCGGCTCCCCGTGGATGTTCAGAACGGGTTCATCCGGAACTACACCATCTTCTACAAAACCAGCGCGGGCAACGAGACCGGTAATGACCTTCTACAAGACCGGTGTGGGCAGTGAGGCCGGTCAGGACCTTCTACAAGACCGGTGTGGGCAGTGAGGCCAGTAATGCCGCTCTCTCAGCTGTTGAGGATCGGGTTATTTTTTCTTTTAAAGGTGTTACTTATTTACTTTTAGAGAGAGGAGAAGGGAGGGAGAAAGAGAGGGAGAGAAACATCAATGTGCGGTTGCCTCTTGAGCGCCCCCTACTGGCTACCTGGCCCGAAACCCAGGCGTGTGTCCTGACTGGGAATCGAACGAGCGACCCTTGGGTTCGTAGCCTGGTGCAGAATCTACTGAGCCACACCCACTGGGACAATTTTTTTTTAGGCTTTTAAATGCTAGTTTAGGGCTCTCCTTACACTAGCTGTCTTGGCGTGGCACGTCACCTTCAGAAAAGACACCCCTGCAGACGCGCCTCACGGTGCTCGTCACGGTTTTGTGTCGGCGACGAGGCGCGCTCTCCGGCAAAGCGCGCTCCGACCGCTCTCTGACGGTCTCTCGGGGCCGCGTGGGGGCAGAGGCGGCCGGGAAGCGCCGGGTGACGCGGGTGTGCTCCCTTCCAGCCGTGCGCGTGGACCCCTCGCACACGGACTACACGCTGTCCTCGCTGACCAGCGACACGCTGTACATGGTGCGCATGGCGGCGTACACGGACGAGGGCGGCAAGGACGGGCCGGAGTTCACCTTCACCACGCCCAAGTTCGGTGAGCGGGCGCCGGGTCTCCCAGTCTCCCGTCCCTGGGACGTGTGCGCGCCGCGGGGTGGCGAGGGCGCCTCCTCGGGCTCCTGGTCCCGGCGTGCGGGGCGCCAGGACGTCTCCGGTCTGCGCAGAAGGAAACTCGGGTCTGCACCGTGCCGCCCGGGGCCTGGTACACGGCCCTCCCCCCTGACCCCGCCTCTCCCCCTCAGCTCAAGGCGAGATCGAAGCCATCGTGGTGCCCGTCTGCCTGGCCTTCCTGCTGGTGACGCTGCTGGGGGTCCTCGTCTGCTTCAACAAGCGGGACCTGTGAGTACGCCCCGCGGTCGGCAGCCCCCCGCCGCAGCAACTTACACGCCGCGAAACCCACGCCTTCCCCGTGTGCGGTGGGTGGGCCTTGGAGCCGCGTGCGGACGCTCGTCACTGCCGCCGCGGGCGGGCCAGCGCGCACCCCCACTGCGCGCGGGGGGGCCCCAGCGGGCGGGCTGTCCCTTCCCCGCGCCCCTGGCCCTGGCCGTCCCTGGTCTGCGCTCCGGGACCCGGTGTTGTGCCCGACGGCCCCCACTCGGCGTGTGTCCGAGGTCCGTCCACGTCGCAGCGGTGCCAGTGCTGCCCTCTCCCGCTGGACGGCAGCCCCGGCAGTGCGGGCCCCTTGCAGTCCGTCCGTCCGTCGCTCCTCTGCTGAGGGGTCCGGGGAGGCCCCCTCGGGCATCCGCAGGCGAGGTGCTGCTGCGAGCGTTTCCGTTCAGTTCAGCTTCCGGGCGGTCCGTTCGGGGCTCGGTCCGAGGTCTTCCTCGCAGAACGCCGACCACTGGCGTTAGTGGTGTCGGCAGTTCTTCGCGGCAGCTCGGAGTGGGAGCCGCGGGCATTGTCCACGGTGTTTTCTCCAAGGAGGCCCTTCGTGTGGGCCCCGGCTCGGGGTGCGGGCGGCCTGGTGGACGGGCTCCACAGACGCCGCCTCTCCCTCCCTCCCCCCGCAGGATCAAGAAGCACATCTGGCCGAACGTCCCCGACCCTTCGAAGAGCCACATCGCCCAGTGGTCCCCGCACACGCCGCCGAGGGTAAGAGGGCTGTTTCGGACCGGGGCACGGGGCGTGGGCGCGTGGGGGCGCGCTGGCAGAGTTCAGCCCGAGAGGCCCGGGCTGAATCGAAAAGCAGAAGCAAAACAGTGTGCAAATGAGGATTTTCAGCAAAATTTAAAGCGGTACCTGCACGTTCTGCTTCGTCGTCAGTGTAGCGCACTCGGGTATTCGTGACGTCAGGCATTGCTGTCCTGGCATTACAGCTCGGGGACTGAAAGTCACCGGCGCTGCTGTGTGACCCGGCGTGACGGGCCCTCGGCCTCGCACGCTGAGCCGGCCGCGTCCTCACCGGCCCCTGACCTTCCCCGGGGGGCGGGGGGCATGGTTGGCGTATTTCGCCTTTTAACTCTTGAGTTTTGTACTAGCAGGTTAGAGTGTGGTGTGCACGTTTATAGTCTATGCAACTTGGGTCGTTGGGTTTGGTTTTCGTTAAGGTTTTTCAGTTTTTCTGAACCGTGGCCCCCCCCCACCAAGTCTGGGCCTGAAAATGAGAAGGGCTCTTTGCAGACCTGCAGCCTCTCTCAGTGCGACCCTGGGGGCGCCTCCTGTCTGCATGGGGCGGGGGGAGGTGACACAGAATGTGGCGGCAGGAGCACACACTCGGAGCTGCAGGGGGAGGTGACCGTCTTCTCCCCCCCCCCCCCCAGCACAACTTCAGCCCCAAGGAGCAGATGTGCTCGGACAGCAGCGTCACCGACGTGAGCATCGTGGAGATCGAGGCCAGCGACCGGAAGCCGCCCCCGGAGGACCTCAAGTCCCTGGACCTGTTCCGCAAGGACAAGGCCGGCACGGAGGGCCACAGCAGCGGCATCGGCGGGTCCTCCTGCCTGTCCTCCTCCCGGCCCAGCATCTGCAGCAGCGAGGACAGCGAGTCGGCGCGCAGCACGGCCAGCGCCGTGCAGTACTCCACCGTGGTGCACGGCGGCTACCGGCACCAGGCGCCGCCCGCGCAGGCCTTCTCCCGCTCCGAGTCCACGCAGCCGCTGCTCGACTCCGAGGAGCGGCCGGAGGAGCTGCCGCTGCCCGACGTGCTCGACGGCCTGCCGCCCGGACAGCCGCCCTTCCAGCAGAGCGGCGGCCCACGGCTCCCGGGGTGCGGGCGGGGGTCCCCCTTCCGCGAGGAGGACTTCGTCCCAGACCTCGCCGCCCAGCCCCCCGCCTGCGGGCTGGGGAAGGCGTTCCCGGAGGCACTCGCGGCGGGGGCTCTGGGCCCCGGCCCCGAGGGGCCCGGCGGGGGACTGGAGGCAGCGGGGGCGGAGGCCGAGCTCGACGAGGGGGTGCTGAAGAGCTACTTGCCGCAGACGGTGAGGCGTGGCGGCTACATGCCCCAGTGAGAGCGGGCCGCTGGGCCCTGGGCTGGGAGCTCGCGTCCGGGTCCCGGAGGCAGCGGTGGGCACGCACTGGCACGAACCTTTGCCCCGGAGGACGGGGACGACGGCCTGGCCTCCCCACGCTGCCCCCTCCCGGAGCGCCGGACCCGGCGTCACACACTACAGAGACTGACCGCCCCGAACGGCTGGAGGGGGCTGGGCCACATCGGGGCCTCCGCACTGAGGGGGGGCAGGCAGGGAGTGTCACGGGGGGAGGGGGAGGGCGAGAGCGGGCGGGCAGGGGTGGCCCGCCTGGGCCTCGGACCGTGGGGCTGCCTGCCCCCGGAGCGCAGGGGGCCTGGCGTTCCACCTGGGCAGACCTCCGATGTGAACTCCCCAGTAGGATATCGTCAGTAACCTGAGTTTTCAAAAAGCCGCTTTCACCGTTAACAGCCTCTTTGAAGATGCCTTTCACAACTCAGCAGCCTGCCCGGGAGGGGGCTGGGAGCACCTTCCGCACCCGTCCGTCCGGAGCATCTGCCGAGTCCCTGCCGGTTACAAAGGCTTACAGCGTTTTTCCGTGTAAACACTGTTGCCCCTTTCAGTTTGGTTGATGAAGCACTTTATACAATGTCGTCAACTTCAAATGTATCTCAACTTAATACACTTTGTTTTTATTTTTCAGTAGGCCAGGATTGAAATTCTCTCTGTTTCTAGTGGGTGTTCAGAGCACACAGAGTTAGCGGACTGGGGGGGGGGGGCGGCGGCCGTGCTCACCCAGACAGACCAGCCCCCGGAACGGACATGCTGACCCTGGGTCCTGACCCTGGGTCCTGAACGTCACGGTCACGACCTGAGTGTCTGCGGGGCTGAGGCGGGTGGACGTGAGGTCGGCGTGGGGGCCCAGGACGACCTGTACCCTCCCCCCCTCCTGCCCCGAGGGGGCGGGGCGCCAGGCCTCGGTGGAAAAGACGTTTTGTTGTTCTGCTCTCTGAGTTGCGGGGTAAGGCGCCTTGGAACCAGTCTGGGGGGCGTCAGGGGAGGAGAAGAGGTCAAGCCCCGAGCGGCCGCTCCCGGAGCGGCCGCTGTCAGACCTTCACGGTCCCCCGTCCTTCCTCGTCCTCTCGGGAGCTCTCCCAAGGGTGGGCTTGGCGAGACGGGGAGACCGCTCTGTGCTGACCGCCCGGAGAGGACAGGGCAGCGGGACCAGCCGTGGGCAGCGATGGAGTGGGGGGGGGCAGGTCACTGGAGGCCGGAGGCGGTGGACGCAGACTCCTCTGGGGAAGTGCATCCTGCCCCAGTCTCGGCCCCGTGCGGAGTCCAGTGGGGCGTGGACGCCAGCGTGAAGCAGACGCCTGCGCCCCCGGGAGGAAGTAGACGGAAGTGCTGTGAGCGCTCGGTGACCTGGCCGTGGCGCGTCACGCACCGCCCGGGTTTGGGGCGTGCGGGCAGAGAGACAGCCCGGTCTGCGTGACCTTGAGCCCGCGCACAGGAAGCTGGTGGGCGTGCCGCCCACCATTAGGTCTTCGGTGCCTGGAACCGAGTTCCAGGTGAGGCCAGCACCTCGGAAAGCCCCTCCCCCCTGTGGACAGAACTGGTCCCCGCTGCCCACACTGCGGCCCCTCGGAGAGCTGGCACGGGACCGGCCTGTGGGGTCACTGCGATGCGGCGGTCGGCTGCCGTGTCCTCGGCGTCCCCCTCACCCCACTTCAAGGCGGGGTCTGACTCATCGCCGGAAAACACACGTCACACGCGTGACAGCCTGGAACGCTTCCGCGAGCCCGTCCTGAGACACACGGCCCGGCCGACCAGTGGGTCCTGTGTTCCCGGCTGTGCGCCACCTGCCTGTCCCTGCGTCTGCCTGATGTCACCGCAACCCCCTCTTGTGGAGGTGAGGGGCGGCCAAGTCCAGGTGCGCGTTCACAGGGCCTGCCTACGAAAGGCCACACTCACAGTGGGCCGTGTAAAACGGCTTCGTAAACAGGAATCAGACAGATTGGAGAGGTGTGTTTTGTCTCCCCACACAGGTAACTAGTTGAAAGCCCCCGACGCACAGAGGTAGAGCGGTCCTGCACCAGAGCGCCCGGGAACACTCCCGTTGTCTGGCATAAGCTGCCCGGGTGTGAGTCAAACAAGCTTACCTGAATTTTAACTGTTGCTAAGAAGGGCTTGCTGCCTCCGGCGCCTTCAGCAATGGCACAGTTCGGCTGGTTGAAGGTCGTCTCGCCTGCATGTCGAGGAAACCCCAGTATGGGGGGGGCGGGGGGCAGAGTAAGGGAGCAACACGCCGGAGCACCAGGTGTGTGTGTCCGCCCGCGCGTCCGTCTGCAGACACGGTGCGTGGCTCCCCCCACCCCCGTCCGGGTTTCAGGACAGACCCCGGACCCGCACGCACGCTTCCGTCCGCGCGGCGGTGAGATGATGCCTCGCCCGGCCAAGCAGCAAGCGGCCTGAGACGAGCGGTTCGGCCGCTGGAAGTCGCTGGGGTGGCTGTTCATTGCGGGCCACGGTAGATCCTGCCCGGCAGCTGAGACTAGTTTTAGAGGTTTTCCGCACTTTTCCGTGAATCGAGAGAATGTGAAACCACACGGCGGCCAGGTACTCGGCTCAGCCCGGCAGCGGCCGTCTCCGCGGGCTGGAGAGACGGCGGCGGCGGGCAGACCGCCAGCCCGGCCGTCCCTGGGCGGCCCTCGACCACAGCTCCCTCGGGGCCCGTCTGTAAGCGGAGGTCGGTGCCCCTGGTCTGCGCGTGGGCCCGGCTGCGCTGGGCGAGCCCCGTGCGTTCCCAGCTGCGAGGGCTCGTGGGCGTCCTCGAGACCCAGGTGTCTTCTTCCACAGTCGCTGGGCCGTGATGAAAACGCGCCTGGGGCCGGGGGCGACAGGGTGTCCCGGGCTTTTGCCCCTCCCACCGGAGCTCTGTCTGCAGGGCAGGCGCACGTCCCGGTGCTGCTGCTGCTGCCGCCGCAGGCGGCCGTGTGGGTGGGGACGGGCCGCAGACAGAGGGGTGTCTTCAGAGGCCGGCGTTTGCCAGCTCCCGGCTCACCGCGTTTGCGCGTGGGCAGTGGGGGCCAGGGTGCGCTTGGCGGCTGCGGCAGCTCCGCCCACCCCCTGGCTCCGCCCTCCCGCGTGCTCGCCCACGGCCGCCTGCCCCCGCGCAGTGCGCCGTGCGCGTCTGGAGAGCGTCGTGCGCGCTCGTACCCGTGCAGCGGGGCGCACGTGCTCGTTGTAACCACAGCTGTTTCTACGTCGACACAACGCTAAACCTTGCCGTGAGTGCACTCGCGCGCCCCCTGTAGCCCTGCCAGTAAACCTAGGGAATAAAGTCTTGCTGGAACTTTCTGGGCGTGCTCACTTCCCGCCGACGTCGCGTGGCGATGATGTTGCCGTGGGGCGGGGCCTTCGTGTGGAGTGGACGCCTCGTGAGGTTGCATTTTGGGGGGTGCGGGCAGCTGCGGGCGGGAGCGGGACCTGGGAGATCGCTGTGCTGTCCTGGCCGCGTGACACACGGAACCGACTCGGAGGCGGCAGACCCGCTCCCCGTCCCCCGGGTTTGCAGGTTTACGAAGACGCACGCCGGGCCGACCGGGGGACCCCGCGCCGGCGCACCCGTGTGGGGCTGCGCCGCGCAGACCAGCCGCGGGATGTGCGCTTCCGACCCGGAAGTCCTTGGGAGTCCTCCCGCGGGGACCCCGGCACTGCTCGCAGACCCGGCTCGGAGGGGCGGGGCCCCGGGGCCGCGTGGTCGGGCGCAGACGGGCTCCAGGGCGCACCCGTGCCCGCCGTGCCAGCCGCCGAAGCCAGCCCCTCGGGCGGTCAGCTGCGAGCGGTCACCTGAGAGTGGCTCGCACAGCCCGGTGGCCGCTTCCGGCGGGGCGTCTCTCCCCCCGGAGTCCCTGCCCCCACACCGCCCTCGGGCCCCCTCCGTCCGCCCCCTTCAGAGACCCCAGCCTCGCTGCTGCATCTCTCCCTGCTCGGGACCCCGCCACTCAGCGCCGAGCCCGCCCGCCCCGGCCTCAGTGCACAGACTCGCTCCAACCACACCCAGCAGCGCCTGAACGGGGGTCACGGGTCCCCCCTTCCTGAGCCGAGTGCACCGCCACGCAGCTGCAGTCTAGGAGAGGGCCCCCTAGTGGTGGGGTCTGGCCCCTGCACCGGGGCCGGAGGACCTGGGGCCAGAGCGCCTCCTGCTCGGGGCGGGTCACTGATGCGTCCACTGCAGCCTGACCACCTTGGGGCTCGTGCACAGAGGCTCCCGTGGCCTCGCAGGGTCCTGCCATCCGCCGGGGCAGCCCGGCTCCTCCGGCCACACCACCCGCACCGGCCATCTGCCCTATCGCGGGCCGTGTCCGCCCGCCTCACGCCGCCGCCTCTGCAGGTGCACACTGTCTCCGGTTTCTGGACACGCTGCGTTTCTCCCACCCTCCCAGCCTCTCTCTGCGCGCACGACTTCCTCTCCTGACATGTCCTCCCGGCCGAGACCCTTGCTCAGCTGGGAAACCCCTACCCCCTCGCCGCAGCCGACTGCGGCCCTCCCTCTCCTGCTTCCCCTCCCCCAGGAGCCGGGGGCCTGCCCCTTTGTCCGAGGGAGCTGAGCCCCACCTCGCCACCACCCGCCCGGGGCAGGCTCCCGGGGGGCTCCCACACTCCGAGGGCTGGGGCTGCCTGGTGCTGGGAAGGCTTGTCGGGAGAGGCGGGCGGGCCAGCAGACAGGACAGGCTGTGCCTGTGTCGTGGGCCTTTCATTTCAGCGCCGGCCCCGGGCCCCGTTTTGCCCGGCCTGCACGGCGCGCGGCGGTCAGAAATGCGGCCGCCCCTCCACCTCCAGCGTGAGAGCCTCCCCGACCCCTCGCCCGCCCCAGCGGCGTCGGCGCCTGAAAACCGGCCTCTCTGCTCCGCGGGTCAAACACAGCCACGCAAATGGAACTACAGCCAGCGTGGACTCTTCCAGACCGTCGTTCCCCATTCCGCGTCCCGCGGACGAGGAACACGAGTGGACCGGCCGGGGAGCTGTCCCACCCCCGGAGAAAACACTCGATTTGGGGAGAGAGGTGCCCCCCCCCCCGCCCCCGGGAAGGTGCAACCAGCACGCAGACTCGGGCTCGGCCTGGGGCGAGCGCGTCAGGGAAGCGCGGCCGCACACCAGGCCCCGAGGGCCTCCCGGGGCCTCA